AGTGTAGAGACCTCACAGTCAGGATCCTAAAGGAAAGAAGGAAGCCCACAGGTCTCCTCCTTGACACTACTGCTGATGGCTAATTCTGCCCTGTGACAGATGTGCCCAAGCTTATGTCTTCTGCTGCTGCCCAGATGTCTACCTCACATAGAGGAAACACTGTTTCCTAAATGTGCCTTCCAGAACTAATATGAAGTTACAGAAGTGTTCATATCAGGACAAGCCCAGGGAGTCCAATTAGAGAAGATAAAAGCTCCCAATTCGAGGGATTTGAATGATAGCAACCATAAAGAACATTGTAAATAGATGTGTATGTAAACTGTTGTTTAGAGGTTTTGTCTATTTCTACTTTTTTTCTTCTGAGATATAACTTCCATACATGGCTCTCTTTTCTCTGTGTTTTCAGTTATCTGTGATCAACCATGTTCCAAACTAAATTTTAAAAAGAAGTAAGCTGGGCATTTGTGGTTCATGCCTTTAATCCTAGAGCTTGGGAAGCAGAAGCAGAGGAATCTCTGTGAGTTCAAAACTAGCCTGGCTGGTCTACAGAGCAAGTCCCAGAACAGGCTCAAAACAATACAGAGAAACCCTGTCTCAAAAAAAAAAAAAAAAAAAAAAAAAGTTTGGAAGTTGTTAGTTAGGCATGGTAGTGCACACCTTTAGTCCCAGCACTTGGTGTGCAAAAGTATATGGATCTCTGTGAATTCAAGGCCAACCTGGACAGCCAGGGCTACACACAGAAACTTTGTCTTAAAGGACAAAACAAAACAAAAAACAGAAGTAAGAATTGACACATTCTAACATTTTAACTTGTGTATTGTTTTTCTGATTTCAACTGTAACTTCTGTCATCTACTGTGGCATGAAACAATCTCACATCTTCTCATTGGGTCCCATGTGGGACATGAATCATCCCTCTGTCTGGGGTGTCCAACTGTATGTACTCTGTCTCCATTAGTCACTCAGAAGACACCTTGGATGCTAGATTTGTAACCATGGTGATGCAATGCTTGTATTTATGCAATCCTTATTTTGTTTAATAATGACTCCAAGACGTGGGAGTGGTGATGTTAAACACATTAGTGTGTCAGAGGAAAGCCATGTGAGAAGGTAGATGTTACTAACTTTATCGTAAATATCTGTACACATAGGAGAAAACAGGGCCTCTATAGAATTCAGTAGTATTGGTGTTCTGATGCATCCTCTGGGGGGATCTTAGACCCATTCCCTGAGGATGAAGAGACACTGATACACAGTAAAATGTCTGTCTTGAATGTCTCTCCTGTGTCTACCATCCAGATCAACACACAGCACATTTTCCTCAACTCCAGGAAGTCCCCTCCTGTATCCTCCCAGGGTGACTTTTCTTTTAGATTTTTATCACCATGGAATGATCTTCTTTAGCAACTTTAAATTTTGCATGAACAGAATCAACACATGCCTCACTACACCTACATCATCTTTCTTTTCTCTTTATGGAAAGTGAGAAAAACGTGGAGGTTTGTTATGTGCTGGGGGTACATGAGCTTTCCATTCACACGCACATCTCTGATTTCACTCCTGTCGCCAGCAGTAATATAAGGAGAAAGCAATTGGAGCTAAACACTCAGGGTCAGAGAACTCAGAACATCTTGAGCTTAAATCCAGGACTTTGAAGGCCAAGCAGGTTCCTCCCAAATTCAGCTGTGTCTGTGAGTGGTAGGGGGAACAGTCAGCTGTGTCTGTGACTGGTGGGGGGAGCAGTCTCTCAGTAGCTGTCAATTGAAACCAACCAAGGGCCTGCTCCCTCCCACAGGGGCTCAGGATACCATCACCAGTGCAGGAACCAAAAGGCTAGGTGAGGTCTCACACTCCACTCCGACCTGGCCCTCTCAGATGGGCTCATGCCCACAGAGCCACGGGTTAGTAAGAATCAGTGTTAAGATTGGCCACTGCTTCCCCAGGTGGTGATGAGGGGCAGATTCTAGCAGTGTTGGCCATGGCTACAATGTATGCCCTGTGCAGGCAGGCCTGGTGATATGGAAGAATCCTGAATTTAACCTTAGATGTTACAGAGTTAGGGGCCTTCACCTCCTACCTGCATTTGGGGTTGGATATATATCTGAAAGTTCCAGCACTTTCTATGCGTACAATGATAGTAATACCCACTGTTGACGCTCGAAGAACTTACATGACTGGGGAGCTGGCATATTTCAGGAAGTGACTTCACTCATGCCCTCTATGTCCTGGGAATAGGCGTTCCCTGTCCATGCCTGCTAGGCCCCACATCAACTCTGTGCACTCCTGGATAACAAGATTCCAAAGGCCAGGCCACCTCTCCCACCATTACTTTAGAGGGACTGTGGTGCTTCCCATGCACTGGGCACAAACAATGAAGGAGTCGAAGGAGGCCACTCTCAGTGCACAGTTACCTAGAGCCCTCAGCCTTGGCCTCATCCAACCAGGTTCCTCTACATCTGGACACTGTCCTGGGTGCCACCTGCAGGGCTGGTAGCAACTAACCAACTGGCCATAACACATGCACAGTCTCTAAGAACCAGAGTATTTGGAGCATAGGCTAAGGATATCTACTCCAATCTGTTCCCTTGCTCATGGCCTTTGGACTGCTGCTGTCCAAGGCCCATGTACCAAGAGGGAAGGAAGGCTGTTGTGTCCAGGAGACAGGCACTTGAGACTCAAGCCCCTCCCTCCTCTTGCTCTCTTTCCAAGATAAATCAGACAATCTGACAAACAGGTTTCTCTCCTGCACAAAAGATACCAATGTCTGTAATGTTATTAGACACTCAGGGCATAAGTACTGTCAGACGAGGACCAGAAGAATACCGGGTCGGCCCCAAACAACCTGAGCATTGGCCATGACTTTGTTTGAAAAGGACAGTAGTGATTTACAAGATAGACCTGAATTGGCTCAGGCCTGGTCCAGGATGCTGCTGCCTTGACTCCCTGACCCAGGCAGCTTGGGACATGCTCTACGTCTGCTGAAATCATCAGCAACCTCGGTGATTGCTTAGCCAAGGGTAGAGTCTGTATTGATCTAAGCTAATGGCTTGTAGGCAGGCAGAAAATGAAATTTATAATTGATATTGAATCACATTGACGCAGCAACTGTTGGCATTCGGTGAATGGGTAGATTGGGGATGAAGCAATCAGCACTGATGGCCCCTGGGTTGGCAGTTCCCAGACAAGGTTCAGAAGGGTTCAGAAGAGGGGAAAGAAGCTTCAAGAGGCTCGGCCTGCAGAGCAGAGCATCAGTGCTAAGTATACCACTGCTCTCTGAGTGCATGTGGGCAGTTTTCCCTCCATGCTTGCCAGTCTAGGAAGTGACTAGGATTAGCAATTTGCTTCTTTCTCTGAATGGAAGCTCAGGGCTCCTCCATTGAACTACCAAGCTAGAAAATACTAGAAGACTGTAGTTCCATGTTTCTAGGCTCCTGTTTGTTCTGTCTCCAATTACACATGCATCATCACCAACCTCACTGGCCCCTGACTTCTGCAATGTGGATAGAGGTTGTGGTTACAAGTCCAGCTGAGGATCCTGATGGGCGCTCAGGAATGGTTTCCCCAAGATCAAGGTTAAGATCCTAGGAGCCAACCAGATGTACTGGGTTATAGACCCTCTTCTTACCTCTTCCCCTCCCCCACCCGTGTCTATTCATTCTCCCTCTGGACCATTCTCTTCACTCCCTGGCCCTCCCTGTGCACAGCTTCCTTGCTTCATCTGCTCATTCTGTCTCAGCCTCAGCTACAGCCTTCCTGCTCCCTCGGGCTGCCTTGTCCCCCCTGTGTGTGCCAAGATAACAGCAGGTATTTACCCCCTGCCTAGCCCTTCCCCCAGAGTCTCCCAGTGCTGAACTCTAGAAAACCTCTAAATTCAAGTACTGAATAAATGGAAATGACAACTGTATGAAGTTGAACCTTGGGGTGCACATACACGGAAGTAAGACGAAGAAGTCTAAGGATCCCCTGGCCTCGGAACCTAGCAAAAAAAAAAAAAAAAAAAAAAAAAAACAGGCCAGCTGAGCCAATGAGGCTAGCTTTTAAGAATGTAATCTTTTATATTGACTCTTTAAATCTTTAAAACAATCTTTATGAAAAGTTGCCAGAATTCCCCAAGCTATCTCATTACTATTTTAAAAGTTTAAGATTTCCATTGATGGGGTTAGAAAATGTGTTTACACATTGTTACCTTGAAGTATGAGGGCCAGGCTAGGTCTCTAGACCTTGGGAAGATGAAGGACCCAGAGAAGAACAGAACAGATGTCCAAACAGAGCCCAGACAGAACACTAACAGATTTAAAAAAAAAAAAAAAAAAGTAGAGGCACTCAGAGCCACTGTGCAATAAATTATCTACTGCAGCCCACTCCTGGGACAGCACAGGACCCCAGCACAGCCCCTCAACCTTGGCTACAAATCGCATTAAGTTTATAAAACATCCCATTGGCCCCCTCCCCCCAGTGCCCTTCCATTACCTCATCCCTCTCCCCCAATCAATCTTTCGACCTCAATACTTACCCTTTAAATCAATTCAGCTCTGAGATTTGTCTTGCTGTTTCCCCAGCCTGCTTTAAAATCTCATCGACTTCCATAAATCACTTGTGTTTCTGCTCTCCTCCTGCTGCACTTACACAGCTGCAGTCAGACCCGCAGGCTTGCTGGAGGGCACCCAGCCCCGCACATGTGGTCCAGAGGGCTGATGGGTCAGTGGCTGCTGCGGCTGGGCTACCTCGAGCCTTTCCGAAGCTCCTGAAAGTTACTGAGTGTTTCCAGTGAGGTTCTCTAAAGTAGACCCGAATAAATGACTCACAGGCAGTTTTCATTAAAGAGGTTCCCTGGCTGGTGGAGAAGTGAAGGGGGTCGGGGAATAGGACAGATTCAAGAGGAGGAATGGGACCCAAGCCATAAAAGGAGGTCTTTGCATAAGCCCCAGGGAACTCAGCTTGACCAGGGTTACCTGCTGAGGATGACATAAATTCCCAGGCACTCCTAACCCTCCCATTCAGGGTAAAACAGGCTCTAGCAGCTGCCCTGAGAATCCCCCTGGGAATGAACTGTGTCTAATTTGAAGCCCACTGGGAGGGAGGGAGCATGAAGATCCGAAAAGGGATCCAAGAGAATTTGGGCAGAGCTTCTGCGAAACACAATTTGAAAGGTATCTTGGAGCATTCTCAGAAGAATTCCTTAGCATCAGACACCACAGGTAAGTGATTGTTGGCCCACACTGAGCCCTTCTACAGGCTGAAGGAAACCCAGGCACATCCAGGACTCACCTATGGGGAGATTTGTACAACTGGCAACCCCTAACTGTGGTCCTTGGAAGGTCGATAGGTAGGCCAGCCCCAGGCTTCCTCCAGCCCAAGTCTGCTGGCTATGTCCTGTCCTGACATATGTGATCTTAGCCTGTCACCTGCCTAGTGCCTCCCACAGATGGAGACTGGTCTCTTTTTAGTTGTGAATGCAGCCATGTATGGTGCTTATCACAGGAAAAATTCAAACATCTACCCAATGAGTGATCTGTTCATGGTTGTTTTAGACATCCCGAGGGATCCAGCTGCCTTCCAAGCAGCTTTCACTTAAAATGCTTTGGTATAATTTACATAAATACTTTGAATCCATACAGTATCACAGTTCCATTCCACCCTTCACACACATGGCCTGTGGGTGGGTGGGTGGGATATATCCCTCACAGACCTTGTTCTGTAGGAAATCTAAGACACCAAAGCCACACTGTGAAATCTTCTGTTTGGGCCTGGTGATTTTTTCCCCCTTTTGTAGAGTTTATGTTTCCTGTAATGTTCCAAGTCTTGCTTTCCTTGCGTCCCATAATAGCATTTAAACATATGTGTCCCTCCATATTTACGGGTGCTGTATCCTCAGATACAGCTGACTGCAAATTGAGAGAAATAACTGCATTGAATAGGTACAAACTTTATCTTAGCATTGTCTCCTAAATGAAGTGGTATAATGACTACTGACATAGCATCTGCATTGTATCAGGTTCTATGAGTTATCTAGGAAAGCGTGAGAGTGTCTAGGAGAATCGTGTAAGTTATACGCAAATGCTGTCATTTTATATGAGGGGGTTGAGCCTCTGAGAGATTTGAAATACGCCGGGGGGAGGAGGTCATCCCAGAATCAGTCCCAAGTGTGACAATTAATGTTTCAGTGACACTAAAAGGGGGAGATGAGAGAGGTAAGGAGTTTGCATGTTATATTGTTGACCTCAGAAGAAAGGCAGTTATGGGAGACATGAAAAATGAGGGAGCTGAGACACTGAGGAAAGCCTAATGGTATCAGGGGAGGGCACAGGACCCTGCATGGCAGTACCTACAGAGGACATCATGGCGGGGGCTGGGATCTGAGAAGGGCTATAAAGTCGTGAGGCTGAGTCCCTAGGACCCTCATGAGCCAGTGATGGTGGCTTCCTGCAGGGTTTCCATTGAGCACCTTGTTCTAACTCCTCTCTTTGAAAACTCCCTGGCTGCAAGGGATGATTGCAGAGTGTTGGGAGGCAGGAGAGGATGGTCAGCAGTGACTGAGGGGGGATGGTGGCCCCAAGAATGGGGTTCCTATTGACTGATATGGGGAGGCCATGAGAGTAACAGGTGCCAGGACAGGAAAAGACAATTTAACGCCCAGCTTGTGCTACTGGAACTGTCGGGACAGTATGACACTTGATCTCAAGTTCAGCGTTGAACTGCACATGGATGACATTTAAATCCATGAGACAGTGTAGACAGAAGAGAGTGGATCTAAGGAGTAGCCCTAGGAACTCAAGCTAAGCCATCTGAACAATCTGGAGACAGCATGTGACACCCAGTGAAGGTGCTGTTGGGACCCGAGTGTAGAAAGTGCAGTCTGAGAGGACAGGGCCAACATGACAGTTGTCACCACCTGGCTTCCGCCCTGGCAGTCACAGGCACCTATGCTCACCAACCTTCAGCCACCCCGCCCCAGCCCTGGCCACACATTGTCACGGTTCCTTCTCCCATCTCAGACAGACAGGAAGCCATGCCTCCCCTGTCTCCCTCTCGGGAAAGCTGGGCCGGAGCTAGTGTGACTAGGACACCTCATGCTCCCTCGCCAGACCAAGTGGCAGCATGTGGAGTGCCCAGCACAGTCTGTGCCAGGCTACCCCGGCTCGGGGCATGCAACAGCCCCGAGAAGGGGGCCAGCGAGGCCTGCGTGCAGAGGACTGTGGGGACACGTGTGCTTCTGGAACCTCCAAGTGAGGGCCTTGTCACTGCTGTGAGACCCCTGCCCCCACCCGTTGACACCTCTTTGCCTTTTGTCACAATCCAGGATGGCTTCCCACTAGTCCAAGCAACCCACCCGCAAGCTCAGCCTGAGCTCAGACTCCCTTGCTGGCACCTGTGGAACCTCCCACTCTGATTCCTTCTTCCACCCGACCTGAGCCATGCCCTTAGCCGTGGGCATGGCTAACCCTTCTTCCTATCCTTACAAGGAGTATTTCAGAAAGATGTCACCATGTTCTTTTAAAACACACGTGTGTGTGTGTGTATACATACATGTGTATGTGTATATATGCATGTCTGCATATAGTGTTGCCCCGTATAGGTCCTAAACCCCTTAACCCCCCCCATCTTCTTCCTGCTCACCTCACCCAAGGAGGTGCGTATTTCTATATGGCCATTCTTGCTATATCATCCAACAAGAAGCCAGAGGCTTTTGATGGGCCTGTCCATCCCGCATGCTTCAGCCTTCCCTCACGGCCTCTAGAGTGTGTGCCATCTCTCCTGAACACGCGCCACCCCTTCCATCCACACTAAGAGTTATCACAATTCCCCTCACAGTCCCTTCTTTGTCCTTGCACAGGCTTCCTGAAAGGCGTCATAGAGGCCCACAGCAGTGTCCTGAGAAGTTAGTAAACTGGCCCCGAAGGCAGCAATTATGGGTTCCAGAGCAGAATGCATTACCTGCCTATACTGTGACTTCAGGCAACTGTCTCAGCCTCTGCAGACCTCAGTTTACACATATGTAAAGTGGAAGTAGTGAAGAGACGTGTAAAAAATAAATAATTCGTGTAGAAAATCAAGACCTGTGCATAGCATGTAATGGCTAAGCCCATGTGAACTGCAACTGTTGCAACTATTATAGCAATTATTATTGAGCACCTCCTGTATAATCTATAATCTAGTATGTCGAAGTTTCTCCAATCCCTCTCTCTCTCTCTCTCTCTCTCTCTCTCTCTCTCTCACACACACACACACACACACACACACACACACACAATACACATAAAGCTCCTCAGGAGCATGCTGGATCACTCCTCAATGTTTCTGGTCCCCCCCCCCCCAGCCTACCTCCCTCTTCTCCAGGCAAGTGCTACTCAGGCCCCATCATTGCTTGGACTGAAAAGCAACCTCCTGCCAGTTCCAGGTGTAGAGGTGAACACAACATTCCTGTGCCCCCAGGGAGCAGCAGCTAGCTGACCAGACAGCAGTATCACATGTATGTTAAAGGTGAAGTGACAACGGTGACTTTTGTGGAGGGATCTGAAGGACCACATGGAGGAGCCATACCTGGAATGGAGGGTCAGCAGCCCAGGGCAGTAACCATATTGCAGTCATCTCAGCAGCCTGGAAATGTGGATTCTAAACCATTTGCCTAGAAGTTTAGTTTGAGCAGATGTGGGGATGGGTGGCCTCAGCATTCCGGGTGCATGTGTCATGAGACAGCTCAGCAGTTGTTAGCTGAGCAGCTGGTTGTGTTGGTAGATATGTGATCGTGTTGGATATATTATGACTCATGCTCTAGGGCAGGAATGGGGTTTATTCTGTGAGCCACCAGATCAAAACTGCATTTGGAGAGAGGACAAGACTGTTAGGCCTGAGTCTAGGGACCTCAATACTGTCATGATGGGGTTGGTGCTTAGGTATGAGGCCAGGCAAACTAAGAAACTTAGGCTGTGGTGCTTGCCAGCCTCCAACCACTGCTGCAGCCTCTGAAGACCTCAGTTTGCACATCTGCAGACAGTAAAATGTCAGTTGTTAGTGGGAGAATTCATGATCCAAGCAGAGCATTTCCTTGGCCAATGGGTAGGCCTGTAGGTTGTTGCCCAGGCCAAGATGATTATATCTGAGTTGATTCAGTAAAGGGGGCTGCAAGGGAAGGGGAGAGCTCAGGAGGAAACTGAGTTTAGAAAGTAGCTACTCATCGAGGTGGGGAGGGGCAGCACTTCAGTGTGTGACCTTGGCTAGCTGTGGAGTCCTGGAAGAGGGACAAGGCTCGGCAGGCTTGGGAGCGTTTCACACTGAGTTTCTCATTCAGGCCAGAAAGACCCACGACCTGTGGAGCATTGGTAGATGGCTTGACACACAAGCCACCCACTTGAACGTAAAGGAGAGGGGAAAACTGAGACAGCCTAGAAACAGTGAGAAGACATTGTGAGAGCTTCTGGGGAGGACAGAGGAAGGCTTGAGTACAGAAGTTAACAGGAAGGCACTTCAGAGTGCAGGGGGAAAGCATGGAATGGGTCCGGGGTGGTAGTGTCTGAGTCACCAAGGTGACAAAGGCTGGGACCATGGTTTGGGGATTTGGTTAGAGCAATGTTTGGAGGGGCCAAAGCCTTCAAATGCAGAGAAAGCATGTTCCTGCTGCACGTGCTGAGGTGAGGGTAGCAAGGCAGACACCATGTTTGCGCTGACCTTAAAGTCAAGAGCCTGGCCTGGCCTGAGGGGATTCACATTCTGGTCACCCTTCCCAACCTGGTCCTCTGGCTCTGTGGAGATTTTCCTTCCTCTCGGTGGCTCTGCAGAGATCTGCAGCCCAGGGGTCTATGCCTTCTTAGGAACTCCACTGGGAAACATCAGCTCAGAATTCGGCAGTGTGCTCCTCAGGGCTCTGTTTGCTTATGAGGGAGGGAAGACAGAAGGAGAAGGGAAAAGAGAGAGGGACGGTGTCATGTGTGAGTAGAGCGCCCCTAACTTCAGGTTACCATCCTCCCCAGCCTCGCGTGCTTCGGCTTGCTTCCCAAGTCCAGTCAGTTCTCAAGCCTCAGCTCGTCAATGCTGCCTGACTCAAGGCCTGGTTTAAATATTTACAGAACTGGATGAATTGATTAAAGGAAGTGCTGAGAACAGGAACAGTGGTTATTAATAAATCATACCAGTGGCTGTATTCCTTGTGAGACGCTCCATGGGTCTGATAAGTAATATCTACATGACTGATCATCTGCGGAGAAAAACCTGTGCTGGTGTGGCAGTCAACCTGGCCTGTGCAGGAAGAACCTCCCTGAGGAATTGCAGGCCATTGGAGTTGCTCCCCACCCTCTGGAATGTAGCTTCAGTGACCCTGCTTTCCATTACCTGGAGCTCCCAAGAGGGCTGGTGTCTACAGCTTGACAAGCAGGATAAAAATCTCTTCCTTCTCTGTATTGGCATAATAAGGGACATGCATGCTAATAGCATGGTCAGCCATACAATCACTTATTACCCATATTTCCAGGCTTTGCATCCATTGGCCTGTGCCCAAGGAAATCAACCTTCCTGGAGAAGCCACCTGGCATCTGCAGACTCCAACCAGTGTACTTAGGAGGGTCCATCTATGCTGGATAGTCCCTGAGACTGTTAGGTTCCTGCTGTCATCTTCCCTGCCCAGTGTGCTACAGGGAGGAAGAGAAGGAACATGTCTTGGAGAACGAGCAAGCATTGGGTTCTGTTGTAACAGAATATAAAAGATAGAACCATGAGTGCAGTCCTAAAACAGTTCATGGCTTCATTCCCCCACTGAAGACCCCAGAGGGGTCCATGCCATCTTCTTTGGAAGTAGGGAAGGTTCTAAGTGCCTCTCTCAGGTGACCTGAAAAGAAGAATTTAAGAGTGGACAGTGGAGAATAAGCCAATCCACTCACAACAGAGTCCTCACTCACGGGACCACCACTGCCTTCCAAGTCTTTGCTTAGATGTATCTGGCAATCAAAACACAAAGCTCCATGCATTTGATAACTTAATTTTATTGAACTTGATTTAAAAAACAAGCTTTAGAGATAGGCAAATTGGCACCTGGAAAAGAAAACTCAGTAATCAAAGGGATACACTTGTCCCCTCTTCTCCTGGGTCCCTTATCAGACCTCAGCAGACTACTGAGGTCATGTTTACTTTCTTCTTATCATGGGCATCATCTTAACCTCCTCAGAGCCACTTTAGCCAGTGTCTGCCTAATCTAGCTCTGCCATGCCTGGCCAGCTTGAGCTGAGACAAGGTCAGGGGAGAGGAAAGCTTGGGAGCAGAAGGGTCCCTCCTGATAGTTGATGCTATTCTACCAGATACAACCTCTCTCTGCCTTATCAGCTGCCCTGCCCAGGCCAATTAGACAAAACATTTCTTCCAGGTCTGAGTTCTCCAAGGCAGGACCACCAAACTAGTAAAGTAAAGACCCCTGGCAAGGTGCACCAGATGCCAGGGAACAGAAGGATGGGCTTTCCAGGGCCTTGGGAGGACTTTGGGGGCAAGATTGAGGCTCATATAGACAAGGATAGAGACCTAAGAACCTGAGCCATTCAGACAGGCTCTCCCCATCAGAAGTGATGAGTTAGGCATCTCCTTCAGGTAGTAGAACTGTAGCAGAGAGTTCTACTTCATTAGACATCCAGAAGAAGATAGCTAATAACTATCATTTTGCACCTACTAAGTTCTGGAGTATACCCTCAAACTGTGTACCAAAATATACTCTTCCTTCCTTAAACGCTTTTGCCATGAACTTTGTCACAACAATAAGAGAAGTAACAGTATAGGAAACATCAGTGATGCTGAATGCAAAAGTAATGAACTGATTGGTACAGGAAATTTCAAGACGGTAGCATTCAGGATGCATCATGGTTGCTACGCACTGCTCTTCTCTAGGTTTATAGCAAAAGACAGCAATGAGTGGAGGGGGAGAAAGATATAAAAATATAATGTTTGGCAGGGAAAGGAGAAAGTGTAAAGTTGCAGATATGGCAGAAGAGATTATTACCATTAAAGAGAAATCTACCTGTCTATACTAGAACAATTTGAAAGATACCCTAAGGATAAGAAACCATATATCAAAGGCTCTGTCTTCCAAATTAATTTCGGAGGAGAGACCGTAAACAGAGTGCCACTTAAGGGGGTCATGTAAGCTTGTACTAAGTTTTCAAAATGCTGCTAATGCCAGACAATGTGTGGTGGAGGTCATAGTTTCTACAACGAGGCCCTGAAAGTCCATCGTCCTTTATATAGGCTGCCACCAGAAGGCTGGCCAAGATTAAAGGTGGAGCCACCCACCTAAGAAGATCTGGGTTAAAACTGGGTCTTCCCACTTCAAATGAAATAATAAAGAAAAAAAAAAACTCCTCACAGGTGTGCCCATCCACTTTCGTTTTAGTTAATTCTAGGTGAAGTCAAGTTAAACACCAAGAATAGCCATTACAATCCCCACCCCTTGTCAACTTGACACACAATCATATCTCCTTATGACATGATAATTTTGAAGTGAAAACAATAACCAGGTCACAATAATGCCTTAACATGATATAACTGTCACACATGCAATCACAAACAATTATGTATTTAAACAGGTCATAATTACACTTTACATGCTATAACTGTCCCTCATACAATTGCAAATGCATTATAAATTTAGAATAGGTGGTAGTGTTCCTTAAGAAATATTCTTTTAGTGATTCTTTTTGTACAAACTTAAACATGATAATACTCTCTTTACTAATGTTACAAGGAACAAAAACAAATATCTGTACAAACACATTCTTAACAAAAATACAACAGAAATACTTATGTCAGTTATAATCCTGGCTGGTTTGTGTTTCTGCAGCTTGGGTCATGTGGCCTTATCTGGTATTTATAACCACCTTCCTCTCCTACCCATTCTGTATTTCCTCCACCCTCAGCATGAACCTTGGCTCTTTTCCTGGAGGAGTGACCCACACCTTCATTCTTGAAGGGTCTGTGCCCTTTGTCATCTGCCTGGATTAGGCTGTTGTAGTTTCCCATTGACTTTAAGCACAGGACATGGTAACACCAAGAGATGCCCTAAGAATCTCCTGTACTCTAGAAATAATCTTTCTTACTTCCATTGTGAAGAAACAATCCAGTTTCTACTTGGTAGTCTAGATCAATCGCCACTCCTAACACTTATTCCTCTCTTAGCCTGTTGGCAGAAGAGCATCAGAATCTCAAAGTGGCAGGGGGACGTCTGAGCTTCCAGGTCAACAGAATGTAGTGTCTCTTGGCAGGAGTGTTCCCTCTTCTGGAACCAAAACTTCTAGGCCAGCAGAACTTAAGGTCACAGGGACAGGAAGCAAAAATTGTTCTAGTTGGTCATTAGAGGTAATAGTGAGTAGAACTATTCCTTTTTCCACTCCTGGATTCCTGGACCTGTGGATCCTGGGGATGGGAGAACAGTTCAACATATCAGACACTGATTCAGGGCATACACTGCCATCTGGGGAGCCCTGCCCCGCCCTCCAAGCTGCTGCCACGTAATTGGCACTGTTGCTGGCTGGAACTGTGTCTTCAAGAGGCCATTCCAGCTGCTTCAGGAAGGTGGGAACATGGTAAGATCAGTGGATTCCATGGCTGTGGGCCCAGTGTCACGTGACTTGTGTTTCATGGTCAGAAGCCATGCTGTGTGGACTATCTTGACTGTGGATAAGGCATTCTGTAAGTCCATGGTACTATTTGGCAGGAGCATTGCGTTCAGGAAAGGCAAACCCATAACCAGCAGATTATTAGTGTCTATAAACTGTGATCAGGGTAAGTGTGTGTTGGTTGTGTACCAAGCAGCACAGGGGCCAGGCCCAGCAGCCAGATGGGAACAGGATGCAGATCCATCCGAAATACAAACACAGCATGTTCAGCTGTGTGCTGGGTACTGCTGGGTATGAGGGATGGCTGTGCTGTGGGAAGGTGCTAGGCTGTGCTACGCCCAAGCATTGCTCAGATTTCTCTTCAGTTTCCCTGGAGAAACACATTGTGTGGGATCACCACTCTCCCTTAGAGAGTGATCATAGGGGAGGTGAACATAGGGGCAGCTGCTTTCCTCACTGACGCAGGGCTGGCAAGATCAGAACCAACAGCCAAGAGATGGTTGGCTCTTTTGAACTGAGTCTTAAAGATTGAGTAGGACCTCACCAGTAGCCAAAGCCAAGATCTGAATGGGAGAGAAACGGGGAAAAAATGTCTGAGCTAGTAGGACAGTAGTATGGAAGGTAAGGAATTAGCATCCCTGGATGAGATTTATCCATAAGGAGTAAACCCGGAGAAGTGGAGAATTTTGGATCCCAGTGACAGAGCAGAAACTATTGAAGGAAGGCTATATACCCCACCTCCAAGTGCATAAACCAGGCTGCTTCTGAGGTGTTCTGACATGTGCCGCTGGTATATTTCCCCCATAAATACAAGGGGAAAGTGGATCCCATTTGTCTTGCCATTCTGGGCCGTCAGCCTTGGTTCCCAGATAGCCTGGGTGCTGGTGGGGATGGGGGTGGGTGGAGGTAAGAACTGACCTCAGTCTCCACACTCATTGTGTGTTCCTGCTTCCAGCTCGCTCCAAGAGCCTGGTGATGGGGGAACAGAACCGGAGCCCAGGGAGGCCTCTGGCCCCCCACAAGCTGGGCCCTGTACTCAAGGCCGGCTGGCTGAGGAAGCAGAGGAGCATCATGAAGAACTGGCAGCAGCGATGGTTTGTGCTACGTGGGGATCAGCTCTTCTACTACAAAGACAAAGATGAGGGCAAGCCTCAGGTAAGGCATGAAGGTCCTGTGTCCCTTGGGTGTTGTGCTGGGACAGCAACGGTGGGCAAGTTCTGAGTGCAAATGCAAGCAAAGCAAGCACTCAACTTTGGGTCTTAGCCCTGTGCATGTCCCCACATCACAGCTTGTTTTTCCGGAACACACTCCCAACTTCTGAAATGGAAGTGTTTCCTTCTAACATTGGCAGAGTACATCCCCGCCTAGCTCAAGAATAGCACTTCCCACGTTCTGTTCAGCAACTTGGTGTTTCCGGCCACATGTGCACGTTTCATTTCCGTTATCCAGGGAAATAGAGTCCAGATGAGTCTAACCTTACACTGAATCCACGTGAAGCTCTATGTCTGATGCCTCTACCTCAAATAAGGGTTCTTCCCTGTACTACTGGGGACCTCTCCATTCAGGTGCTGAGAACAGCTGGCTGTCCACCCAGACCAGACTAAGTTTAGTCACTCAGAGCAATGAGTGGCTTCATCTGTCTGGCACAGCCTCATCACAACTGGACCACAGATACACCAAAACAGTGCTCTGTTGCAGAGGGCCTTTCAAGACAGCTGGACCTGCTTATAAGAGATCTTATAATAGATAAAGCCAGTACTCTGTAACCATGACCTCTGCACCCACACATTGAACCTCTATGGATCAATAATATTTCTAATTCTATCTATATTGAATATGGGCAAATTGGCTTTTCTTGTCATTCACAGCTAGACAATACTGTGTACTAACTACTTCCATTTAGATTGTGCCAGGTATTATAAGCAACCCGGGGATGGTTTCAAGTTTATGGGAGAGTATATACAAAGGTTATATATAAATAAATACATCATTGTATACAGGGACTTGGACATTCATAGGGAGTTCTGAAACTATCCCTGCAGATAGTGTGGAAAAGCCACTATACTCTATCTCTGCATGTAGTGTGGGACAGCCACTATACACCATTCCTGCAGGTAGTGTGGGATAGCCGCTACACAGAATACAGAAGAGACGACAAAGAGCACATTCCAAGCTATTCTCCCTACTAGTGCTCCAAGTTGGAAAGGACATTCAGACCATCTCATTCAAAGTCAGAAGTCAGGGAGCCTTGGCAGACAGGAGACTGTGCACATCTCGGTGGTTCCCAAAGCATGGGGAAGACAAACATTCCATGCAAGTAAGATGTGAACCTGGGTGCTGCAGGATGTCAAGTTCAAAGGAAGAGAACGACTCTTCTACACCTGTGTTATGTCATCTGAGAATGTCAGAAGTGCATGCTTTGTTTGCTACTATCTTTTCCATGGCCCCCACACTTGCTTTAGTAGACGTGGGACTGGAGGGCAGGCTTCATCCCACAGCCTGCAGTGATGGAAGGAGTTGGCCACAGGCTATTGACTTGGTGACTTTACCTCATGCATTCCAATGGCTTCCTCCATTCATGGAGGGTGATTCTGTTTTCTATTGCTTCCCAAAATATATTTGCATTCAAAATGAAAAACTGTTTCATAGTTACGTACGTGAGTTTAAGCCACTGAACTGTATGTTTTAGCAATGGCTACTATGGTAAATGTTATGTCATGCAAATTTTTTAATAAAGATAAACATATTAATAAATAGAACTGCTTTAAGAAGATGATCACATAGGTAAAAAGCACAAATGGAAAGTTTATAAGACAAAACTCATGAGGGTGGACCAAACTACAGTTAACAGGATGAAGGTGGTTCGAGTCCAAATTGGGAATCCCTGATCTCATTCAGTCCCTCAGTTTTATTTTGGGGTTTTTTGGGGGGTTGTTTGTTTGCTTTGGATTTTTTTTGTTTTGTTTTGTTTATTTTGAGACAGGGTTTCTCTGTATTGCTTTGAAGCCTGTCCTGAAACTAGCTCTGTTGACCAGGCTGGTGGCCTCGAACAAACAGAGATCCACCTGCCTCTGCCTCCCGATTAAAGGCATGTGCCGCCAATGCCCAGCCAGTCCTTCAGTTTTATTTGGCAGGAAACCAATGTCCTGAGTTCAGTGAGGCAGAAGGGAAGTCTGGAGTCAGGCAAATCTGAAATGGATTTGAATAGCATGCAATTTGTATGACTTGGAGAAGTCACTTTCTTTTTATCAACTTAGGTTTTAGTTGCAAAATGGAACAAAAACCAAGGGCCAGTTTTAGCTCACTGAGTGCTTAAACCTGAACCCATGTGTCCATATCCCTGCTTTCACCTTCCTCCCTTCCAGCCCCACCCATCTCTCTGACCCAGTAACATGGAACAGTACCATTTTCTTCTGGCCTCCTTGCCCATCAATACAGTTTCCTAATTGACCTATCCATGATCTGTCATTCTGACATCAGTGACAAAACTACCAGGATTTCACAGTCATGTACTGGGCTCCTGCCCTCATCCCCTGCTCTATTCAGCCTGCATTACTTCCTTCTGGAAATTGTTTATTGCGATGTTGAGTGATGTAAGGTGTTGACAACCCTGAGGTCCCCTCACTTGGATGTGGGGGAGCCTTCTACTCCAAGGTCCCCCATGTGTTCCTTGCTGTAAACCCTATATTAGACCAGCCACCCCCTACCTCCTATCAGATGGCTCTAGGGCATGTCTATCCCAGAATTTCCCATTGCTACCATCTTTTCCAGACATTGACAGTGTCTAATGGAAGCAGTAATTAAAAGAGGGTAACCATATCCCCTAGTCACTGGGCCGGATGCATCAGAAGCCCTTATCCCCATTGAGGGTCAGTTCAGATCCTTCACCTCCAGAGAGAACAGAGTCAGCATATCCCGATAGACACTCTGCTCAAAGCTCCTGTGATTCTCTAGTTCTGCCAACACTTCCAGGGTACTGGGGCCTGACCACTGTTGCAGGACTCCTGAGCAGCCCTGCTGTACAGGTTCCCAAACCGAGGCCACTATTAGTCCAATTTGACATTTAGCTTCTCCAGTGTGATCGCAAACAACTGCCACAATCAACCCACTGATCTCTACCTAATTTCATGAAGTACATGTAATAGATTAATTCTGAGTGTCTGGTTCCTATAAAATATGCCCTGCTCACTGTTCACAGTGACAGCATGACCCAGCAGTCAGTACCCTCTCGGCAGAGAGCCTGAGCCAGCTATTGTAATTGTCAGGAAAGGGTACATCCAACAGCCTGTGATGTTGCCCAGAGCTCAGAAGTCAGGATAAGCATCAGTCATAGCTCATGTCCATGCTCTCTCTCAAAGCCTTTATCTCTTCTCCTCTGCCCTTCTCAGGCCAGGGGCGGGGGGGGGCAGCAGCAGACTGCACAGAGATGAAGCAAGTGGCTTGCATGAGCTCAGACAAAAAAGGCCAGGCAGAGGTGTTTTCAAGAGCCCACACCCCTCCAGTCCTCCTCTGAACATGCTCCAGAGGTTTTCTAGCAGGCAGACCCTGCACATGAAGGGGCGGGGCTGATGAAGCAGGCAGCAGGAGGGAGGTGCCGGAAGAGGGGAGGAGACTAGAAACGCAGTCTCAGCTGTGCTTGGAACCCTGCAGATACTGGCTAAAGCTTTCCGCCAAGACATAGTAGTGTAAACATAATATTTGGGAAAAGAAAGAAAACCCCACTTAAGAGACGGTCCAATCCTGGAGAGCTGTTTTATTCCTGGAATAACTTGGTGCTTCCAAGTCAGTGAACTAAAACTGAAATAATTAATGCGGATTTTGAGAATTCAAATAAGACAGACCAAAGCCACCTGGTGAAGCTTGGGGTGGACTTAGGGGTGAGCTGTGAGGGCAGCATCAACTGAGATTTATGTGTGGTGTTATAATTTCTCACAGCAGTCTGTTCACTCACGTCCACCTTTTTAGTGATTTTTTAAGTTAACCAACAGGGAAAACAATGAAAAGAAAAGAAAAAAATGGGACAGAGCCACAAGCCCTAAGTGTTCTTCGGATAATTCGTAAAAGGGTGGTGAGAGACTAGACCAGACACGGGGGCTGCCAAGGACCACTAAGTCCCACGATGGCCTCTGAAGAGTAGGCTTTGATCTGCTGTTGGTGCTCAGATGTGCGCATGGACAGTGTGTGTGCAGCAGCCGGTCTCGGGGGGAGCCGAGAGGCCAGAGTGTGAGGTTAGTCTCACACAGAACAGAAGCAGCCAGAAAGTGGATATGGCCCAACCTGGGTGCCAGAATCAATCAGGAGCTGGGCCTTCATTTTGGCCCAGTGTTGGGGCATCCGCTAGGGTTGAGGGGCTCACACTCAGTCACTGGAAGAGTCATTCTCATCAGTACAGGCAGGAGCTGGAAGGTACAGACAGGAGGCCCTTCTTGGCACTGGAGATGGGGGCCTGTGGATATTGGAAATGGCAGGACAGAGTGTGAGCAGCTGGGGCGTTTGAGGGACACCAGCGCGGCTCAGGTAGCTGCAGGTTCTAGCTGGGACAGTTGGGAGACCACTTTCAAGCAGACTGGGTTTCTGGTTTGCCTTTTTGTTTATTTCGCTGTCTTTCCCCTTTTCAGGATGGCAAGTGACAGGAGGCTGAGCAGTAAGAAGCAGCAGAAAATTGATTTAAGCTTTGATTTAATTTAGCATAAAAGCCTGGGGTAGAGAGAGGGAGGACAAGATGGACGGGAAACAGGGGCAGCAGTGGGAGGGAGCATCAATGCAATCAGAAATCTTTGAGGAAACTAATAAAACGAAATGACAAACAACGAGTTCATTTTGTGTCGGCCAGCTGCACGGAGCCTGCCCTGGGGAGTAATTGGTACACTGGGTGATATTTCATTGGAAAAAATGGATTTTTCCTTTAGTAGCAGTATCAGTTGCAAATAGCTTCTTGTTCTGTGCCCATGTCCCCGTCTCAAAGCTGGAACCCCATCTGGTTTGAATCTGTGCAGTGGAACACACTCATCTTCAAAGACACAGAAAAAAAAACTTAGTTTTACAACATTAACTGTGTTAGATATAGTAAATTAAGTGCATTATTCAATTGGAATAAAAGGAAATATTTATAAAACAGGGAACCTTAAGGGAGGGTGTAAACATCACCCAGTCCC